GAAATGAATGTTTTAACTCTGCTGACCATCTGTCACATGGCTCCCAGTGCTAAGGATTGCACTGTCTGGCCATGGAAAATGAATTTAAAAGCACTCAGGAAACTGAAGCAAGGACTCCCTATGGACACATCATATGGGATGTGCCTGCAGCTTTCCTCCCAACAGGACCAGGCTCGTTCATTCCTTCAGATAGGTCAGCAAGAGGCTCACTGGTTTCCAGCTGGTGCCTGTTATGGAAAGGCACTTGCAATCCCTGTATAGAAACACAAATATAAATGATTTTGGGTAATGCTGTCAGGGTTGGTTAAGCAATCCAGTCTCTATGCCTAAATATACATGCTAAAATGTCTTAATCCATCATACAGCAGGTAAAATTACACTTTTCTGATTTACTACTTGATGAATTACAGAATGTGGAAATGGATGAGGTCTGAGCTGGAGTCTGTGCTCATAAATTATGAGAAAATGAGATCTCTGCCTAATCACAAGGCCTTTTTGGTGCAGATGTGTTTGGATTGTGATCTCCACTTCTGGCTGTTTAAAACTGTCAAGTCTGTGGTAGCTTAATGGTTTCTGTATTGGTGACCTAACATTGTGCTCCTAGCAAGGAAGACATGCTTGACATTCTGATACCTAAGTAGTAAAATACTTCAACGTTTATTTAAGTTGTTTGGTTTCTTTACTGCATCTTGCATCCTTTAGCCCTTTATTTTCAAGCTCTTTTACTTTGATTTGTGTCAATTTGAGTTAGATCTAAATTCAGCCATCATGCACATACAGACTGAAGTTGTGCCATCACTTAAACTATTTGCATTTACTAAAAAACTTAGAATGCTTTTTGGTGAAACCTGTTTACAACTGAAGTTTCATTTGCTTCATTAATCACTTTTATTAAATACTGCTTTGATGATAGTGAAGCATACATCTTTATTCATTTGGGCTGTTTTTAATCTCTGATTTGGAAAACATATTCAATGTTTTGACTGCAAAATTGGCCTCTCACTTTCAGTGAATCTGCTGTTAGCTTGAAATGAGCTAAATAAGCTTTATGAATCTGCAAAGAAGTTGCTCTTAAAACTGGGCATGGCCATTCAGCAAGTGGTTAGTTAGGAGCTTTCCCAGTTTGGTGCTGGGACTTGCAACAACCACCCGTATAATTGAAAATAAAAGTAAATTTAGTGAAATTATGCCTAAAAACTGCACCAACTGTTTTGTTAACATTTACCCTTGTTTAAATATCATCAGGAAGCTTACAGTGTGACAGATTCATTCAAGCCATAAAGAACATACATTGTTGGATCTTGTCTTAAATACCTCAAAAGAGATCACTGAAAGTTCTCCAGGTGCACCCTTGAGTAAACAGTGCCATGGATGGGCTTTGTGTGGATCATGTGGGTGTTGTGAAGATGACCATGGAGCTCTCAAATTCACTTTTTTTTTTTTCTTGTGTCCTGAACTTCATTTTCTGTCACAGATGGTAGCTTCTCTGGCACAAAAAGAAATGTGTAGGTGTTAACACAGGTGTGTCAGGAATGTCTCCAACATGTTTCTGGCTATACTTAGAAGGCTTGTTGCTTGATGCAGCAGATCTGCCTGAAGAATTGGCTGTTACAACCTCAAAAATTCATTCTTGCCTGTTCTGGGTTCTGTTCTCTCGTTCTTGGAGGTCTTGCTTCAACACATGGAGCACTAGTGTTTATGATGGAAGGTGCTCTTATGCTCACGAGTGTTCATGCAGGGCCTGGTACCGAAACCATTTTGCTGCCATTCTGTAACTGCCACCCAAAAGCATATCAATACCTGTGACCAGTCTCTGCCCAGTTCTCAGTGCAGCTTCCAAAGACTTGTTTGTCTTCCTTGTGTCCAAGTTAAAAGCACAGGCAGTGGTGCAACTTCATACACATGGTGCAGTCCCACGTTCTTACCCTACTGCCTGCTAATGCTTTTTTATTCTTCTTTAGCTTCTCCTTAACTGCTGAAACTTCTAACCTGCTTGCATTGGAGACTCTTGTGCAGATCATGGAGTCTGTGCTCAAATACTATCTCTGGTTTTGTAGGTTCACTGACTGGGCTGCATTTAGGCCAGTGACTGGTGAATGCTGTGGTGGTTCTCAGTGTGCTGAGCTGTCCTCAGAGAATATCTGTTGTAAAATACATTTTACAGGGGGTGTGTGGGCTTTTGAGTTTTTTGCTTGGATTTTTTTGTTTGTGCTTTTGCAGTTCAGCAAGCATCTCAAATTCCTCTTTTCCTGCTAAAACCATTTTGCTTGGCTGTTTGAGTTACTTTTACTGATGCATTTATTACATTTAACATCATTTTAGCTGGTTTTGACATTCCAACCTCCTAAGCTAGAATTACTATTATTAATAACCTGACCTAGGCAAGTTCTCCATCAGAACCTCATAATTGGTTCCTTAAACATTTACTTTTGAATGTTTTAAAACATGTTTGATGCCTAAAAGCAAGGCCACTGGAGATGGGAAGTTCAGTGCCTTTTGCTGCATTTTTCTGTCTACAGAGAGCTGTATTCAAAGTGTAGTTTTAGTTATCACCATGGTTACTAGACAGTGTGACATCCTGCTAAAAATACACTTTTCTCTGTGCATCAGCTGCAGTTACCTCTTGTGGATGTCCTGCCATTGAATTTGGGGTCTGAATGCTTTTTACAGTTGGGCAGAGGTTTTTGACTGACATTATCTCACTTCCCACTTTAAGTTCTTCATGTCGTTGAGGTTTTGTCTGTTATTACAGGATCTTTATTGCTAATGTTGATAAGAAAAATAAGCTGTTGCAAGACTTTGAGATAATCAGAATTGCTACCAGTAATGTTGATGTACTGTACTTAATGCTTTATTTTAACACACTTGTTACTGTTGCTTTAGGTCAGAGGTCCAGCTTAAAGTACTGGTATGAGAAGGAGTGGTTAAGTAATGGTCACATGCATGGCTTGGCATTTTTGGAAGAAAATTATTCCCATCAGAATGCCAAGAAGATTGTAGCCACTCACCAGCTTCTTGGCGATGTGCAGAGAGTGATAGAAGTACTGCATGGACTGCAGCTGAAGATGAGCATATTACAGTAAGCAGTATTTCAGTATCAGTTGGCATGTTCTCAACCTGACCTAGATTTCAAGGAATGAAAAAGTAACTAGGAATTCAGACACAGCAGAACGTGTTGCTGTGTTGTAGTGGGAGAGCATTTGCACCTTCAGCAACTGTAGCAAAGATTTTCACAGATAGATAGATATATATAGACACACCCATGTTCTTTAATAACTGTAGAAATCAAGTTATCTGCATCCTCATGTTTAAAGTTGTCTTTGGGTTCTGATTACAAAAAATCTCAAACTCAAATCAAGCAGTTATAAATTGATTGAATTCCATATTTGTAAATTTTTAGTTGGAAGTTGCACAGCAGCAGCTATTTGGAAAGCAAAGCTTTTAGTGAATTTGTTTGTAAAATCTGTGTAAGAATCTGACACTTGTAGTTTCCCTGCTGCTGGAATGAAAAATGTACTAGACCATTGAAAACAGTAAGGAACTTTGTAAGAAGCAGGTGGGGGGACTGTGGCATGTGGGGTACCAGGCAGCAGAGTTTGCTCAGCATCTTGACATTTAAAGGAAAGTTAAAACTTTTAAAGGAAATCATAAAGAAGTCCTGCATGAGCACCCCCAGAGGCCCCAGCTGTTCTTGTTGTTAGAGAGTTATAAAAGATCAATGGATTGAAATTTAAAGTTTCTTTTGGGGAACTGCAGGCTAAAGTTTGATACTAAGTGGTTTGAAGGGGTCTTTTTGTTTTACTGGTGTTGAAAATTGTTAAAATCTTACTTCAGCCTCAGTGTGCTTGACTCACCTGTTTGAAATACAACTAAAAATATCCCTGTGAAAATGAGTCTCTGCTGTTAATAAATTGCAAATATTGACAGAAAATACTCCTTCAAGGGCAATGTTGGTGAAAAATTGTATATATCTATTTTAAACTTAACCATCAGTTTCAGTGCCAACAGTTGGCTTATATACCATTAGATTACTTCAGAATATTTGGGTATTTTTTACTCATGATGACTAAAGTAGGTAATGGTTCAAATATCGTTGCATAATTTTTTAATGCAATAGGATAGTTTGTTCAGTCACTTTGAAGTTTAACTTTGGTGGATCTTTTTCTTTTTTTTTTTATGTTTGAACAGAAATAAAGAACATCCTGACCTAAAGCTTTGGTGCCATCCATGGAAGCACATTACAGTGGATGAAAAAATTCACACCAAACACATCATTCACATTGAGGAAAACTGTGGCAAAGAGGAGACAGCAGGTTATAGAACTTGGAATGGGACAGTTGAGAAACCCTCAACCATCCCCTCTGTGGAGGAATCCTACATCACAAGTGAACACTGTTACCAGAAGCCTCGGGCTTACTACCCTGCCATAGAGCAGAGACTGGTGGTGGAGACAAGAGGTTCGGCCATGGATGATGGAGTGAATAGAATAAGGGAGAATGGGGATGATGCCCTGTCAGAGAGGTTTGGCTGGAATCTGGACCGAGAAATATGCAAGATGGAAAACGAATCCAAACACAATTACTCCAAGGTATTTGTACTGAAATAACCCCCACTGCACACAGATTGTGTCTGCCTGCAACTGCAGAGCTCAGCCCTTCTTAATAGCATTGAGTTTGTGCATTTCTGGTTGTTTTTTTCCTATACTGTTAGGCTTAAGTTGATGCAAATTAAAATTACAGACATGATTAATTCCTTCATTTCAAATAATAATTTTTAAAAATCTAGGTTGAAGAGGGTTTCTGGACCTTAGATCATCTGCACAGTCTGATGTGGAACACAGTGGAACGTCTTTATGGTCCATTGCTACTTAACATTTGTGTGGGAAATGGTGAACACTGGGAACAGGACAGAGGGAGAACAGGGCAAGCATGTGTGATAGTACCAAGTGCACTGACATTCCAGCTTTTAGTCATTTCCATCTTGTTCCTATGTTTCTTTTAATAGTTTTATTAACTAAATTGATTTCAGGTTCTTCAGGCAGCTCTTTCCACCATGTTTCTTTCATGGTGGGGAAAAAAAAGTAGCTGCCTCTCCTGATTTTTAAGACTGATCACCATTAAATAGTCTTGTCTCTTCTTCCCTCTGGACCACTCTAGTTTTATCTTTTCAGCTCTTGGTTCTCATTTGCAGCTCTATCAGGTCTACCAGAAGTTTTTATTTCTATGCCCCAGTGGAAAAATTTTGCTTCTGGTAGTTGGTGCTGAGTCATATGAAATATGGCCTGACAAAGATTAACCTCTGGGAAATACTGACCTTCCTTCCCTAGACTGAAAGGTGGTTTAGCTTTTACTTCTTGCAGATGTCAGCTTTAATTTAGGTTCCTTTTAACTTCTTTATCAAATCAATTGAGATGACTTTGTTTCCCATAAAAGTATGTATTTCCTTCCTTAGTTATGTAGGGACCTTTTTCTGAATCCTGCCATATTTCAGCAGAATGATGGAAAGTAGGGAAGTCAACACTGCTGACAGTCCAGTCAAGGTTTCTGTGTGGTGGTAATGGGTTATTTTTCCTAGATATGTCAGTGAAGATCTTAGTAGAATTTGGATGAGAATCCTTCAAGAAAAATCCCTTCTTGATGCAAAATAACTTGCTTTTTAGGTGATGACTGTCATGTTAAAACTGGCTGTAACATTCCCCAGGATCTCCAGACTAAGAGCAGTTGTGTCTAGATGTTATCTTTTGAAAATCTGGTGCTGTGAAGTACAAAGAATAAGTCTTAGCAGAATACCTGTAAAATCATGTCTGTTCTCACATCCTCTCTCCCAAACTGCTCTAATGTCTCTGTGTGAGCTCTCCTCTCTGGCTCCATCCATGAACAATTAGCTTGGGGAGCTGTAAGGACCCAGACAGTCTGGCTCACCAGTTCAGTTTCACTGTCATAAATATTTTCTTTCTGCTAGGTAAGAGAGTCTGTCTCCAAGAAAGTCTCTCCAGAGGAAGCAATTGAAATGAAATTGCTAGAAAAAGAGAAAGAAGGAGTTGTGAACACACAGCTGCAGTGGCAGCTCAATCTTCTAGCCCATGTGGAATCTCTGCAAGATGAAGTCATACACAGAATGGATTTCATTGAGAAGGAACTAGATGGTAGGTAACATCTGTCTGCTTCAAAAATTAACTGTATTCAACTGAAGTGATTGTTCAAAACATGTGAAAACTTGTGCACACCTGCAGAGGGATGAGTGTTGCTTTGTCAAATTTACCAATGAAAGCAGACTTGCTGCTGATATTGGGGGATTGGGTTTTAAAACACAGATCAAATGAAAGCTGAGCAGAATTATGTAGAAAAAGTTCTAGTTAGATCACCTCTAAATGCTGGCATCAAATGATGTAGTGGAATATCTTCCATGTCTTTCTACTTCCAGGTTTTATAATTTTCTGTAGCTCTTCTGTGCTCCTGAGCTTCCCTGTTCTTCAGGGGCTTCCTGGCTGTTCCAGGATGTTCTAGATGGCCTCTTTGCACAAGGCTTGTGTCCTTTCCTGCCTCTTCCAACTTCTTTACTTAAATGTCTCTTAAAATTTGTTTCCCTGGTAATGGAAGAGATTGAGATGAGACATTAGGAAGAAATTCTTTAGTGTGAGAGTGATAAGATGCTGGCTTAGGCTGCCCAGGGAAGCTGTGGCTGCCCCATCCCTGGCAGTGTTGAAGGGCAGGTTGGATGGGGCTTGGAGCAGCCTGGGCTGGTGGGAGGTGTCCCTGCCCATGCAGGGGGGTGGGACTGGATGATGTTTTAAGGTCCCTCCCAACCCAAACCAGTCTGGGATGATGATGACAGAAGATGTAAAGAATTACTGCTGTGGGAATTCAGGCACTCTGCTGAGAACAGGAATAGTGACAGTTTTGGGTTTTCTTTGCAGTGTTGGAGAGTTGGCTGGATTATACAGGAGAGCTGGAACCACCAGAACCACTGGCTCGACTCCCACAACTGAAACATTGTATAAAGCAGCTTATAACAGACCTGGGCAAAGTGCAGCAGATTGCACTGTGCTGCTCTACGTGAAGCTGGAAAACACTGGGGACTGTTACTGAGTGTGGACCTGGAGCATCAGATCTGAGCAGCTCTATGTGCTTCTCTGCAGTGAGCACACGGGGTGCAGGTGGTGCAGGTGGACTTCAGGGACTTGTGAAGCAGAGCTGTTCAAAGAACAGCAAAAAGGTTATTTTCTCTCACCATAATTCAGAGTTTATTAAGCAGTGAAAACAATGTGGAAGAGGTCATGCTGTTGTCTTCAAAGGTTGGATGTTGGTTGATAAATTATACTTAAAATTTTCACTCCTCACAAGTTGCTCATTGAAACGGTATCAACACCTTCATAATTCAATTGACTAAAAATTGTGCCACTGAAGAACAGAGTTCTAAGAGCCAAAAATGTTTAGTCGACAGAGGTTGTAAATAACTTTGCATAGTTTAAGTGACTTGTGTCATGTTTTATTCCTTCTGGTTTATGCATAATAGCACATGGTATTTAATCATTAGGAAATGTTATAACAGTTTTCAGACTTACTAAGTATGAATGTCTAGCTCTTAGCTATGAACTGTTACATGGAGGTTTGCAAGTAACAGTGGCCTGAGCCCCACTTCTATTACATGAAATGATGTAGCAGAAGGTCACAAGTGGATTGCACTTATTTTCCAAATAAATGATTGTTTTCCATATTTATCCTCTCACTCTGCCATGACTCGGTACTGGGGAAGCCCCTTCACCTTGTGTTCTGTGCATCCTTGAGCTCCTCAGTCTGGCCCTCCAGTGCCTCCTGCAGCAGAGCTGGTGGGACACTCACTGTGGCCCTGGGAGGTCCCATCAGGAAGAGACTGGAGATGCCCCTGGAGTTCAGACTCCAGCAAGGTCTGTCCTGGCCCTTAGATAGTTTTCTACCCGTTGTTAATAACTGCCATTCCAGTTACCTTTTGAAATGTAGACTTTTTCAATCCTCAGAACGTGTTCATTGTAAAGACCTAACTCTGAATGTGTTGTTTTGGGAATCAGTTGGTTTTATATTGGTGTAAATAAAGTCTCAAGATCTATGCATGAGGTGCTGTCCTTGCAGACAGTGAGTGGATTATTATCTTAAACAGTGTATGTTCAGAGTCCCTTTTTACACCCCAGTTTTAATTTTCTGGTTTATATTACCTTGTGAGAGCACAGTGAAAATGCTGCTTCTGCTCAAGTCACATTTTACAGTTACCTTTGGAGTCCTTGGTGAATTATATGAGACCCTTAAAGTCTTTTGGCTGCAGATCAGACCTCCATAAATACTCGCTGAGACTTTCTCTTTCCAAATGATTCTGAGTTAAGATCACTGTGAAAGATAGTTCTGCAGTGAGGGGGTGTCCTTAAAAAGCTGAATTTGTGGCACTGATTTTGTTATGAGGACTGGTACCACCAAAGGGTGACATTTAAGCTCAGTTGCAATTGAAAGGCCCATACCTGTACAAATGGTTAATTCTGGATATGAATCTGTGATGTTTATACACTGCAAAGAATAATGTAAACTGAAATCTCCAATATTATTGTAGGAGTTAATGGTATCTACACAGTGAATAACAAAATAAACAAGAAAACAATAAATTAGGCTGCTGTAGGTAGTAACTGAGGCTTTTGTGCCAAGGCTCGTTTCAGGGGATAAAATGACTCACAGTTTCCTAGTACTAGTGGGTAATGCAGCAAATACAACCTCTGTACAGCAGAAAAATAACCTGATTTTTCTGTAACACACTTGGAATAAAGCTTACCTGGTATTTAAGCATCACCTTGATGTCTGCAGGTGAGAGCAGTGCTCGTACCTTGTCTCATTCCTCTGCATGACACTGAATTCCTGTGCAGCTCTGGAGCGGGAACCAGGCAGAGCCCACGGGAGGAGCCCCCCAGCCTGCTGGGGGGTTTGGGGCTTTCCAGGGGAGATAGATCAGAGAGGTTCTCCCTGGTTGCCAGCTGTAAAACCTGCCCTGTTCACAGGTCAGCCCTGCTCACAGTGGCAGGGTGTAGAAGCAGTGAAATTCCTGAGCAGACTTTTCACTCCAGAATGGAACTTCTCCTTCCCAAGCCATTGCTTTGTGTGTGTTCCTTGTACATTTTTACTTTGCAGGCTGATTTTTGCTCAGGGCAGTACTTCAGCTTTGGGAGAAAAGGTGGTTCTGATGGGTGAAGCCAGTGACAAATACTGGAGGCTGTTTCCTCTAAGTAGAGCTAGGGAAGCCCTTGCAGATAAAAACTGAAAATATTTATTTAAAATAGTGCTTCTCATCTTCAGGAAGAATCTGTTGTGCTCTGCCTGCATTCATTTTTGTCCCTTTTTTTGCAACTTTCCACTTTATTTCTTAGTCTGGGCCAACAGGTCAGTCTGGCAAGTCACTTTTTTTATTTCTTTAAATCACTGGTAGGTGGATGCAACGTGGAACCTTGATATGAGCAAACATTGCACTGTGGATACATGAGTGTGTTTGTCTTTGTTGATGCACTATTGGACCTGAGGGCGCTGTACATAGAGTTCTGCTTTGGAGCAATATTTGCAAAACTTGAAAACTTCTGTATCTTGGTGTTTGGAATAAATAAATAGGTTTTTGTTGGTTAAGTCTTAGTAAAGTCTTTGTTTCAATTGATGAGCATTCAAGAGAATTATTTTGGACTTTTTTTCTTCACATGGTTTTGAAATGCATGTGCTGTAGTTTGACAGGAATGTGCATCTTCCCTGTTCCTCAAGTCTGGAAGTTACTGTTTTCCAGATCTGTCTCATAAATACACTTAACAGGTGAACTCAGGTATTGTGTATGTTGGATATTGTTTCAGTGAGGAGCTTGTACATTTTATTCTTAAATCATAGAATCATCAAGGTTAGAAAAGACCTTCAAGATCATCAAGTCCAACCATCCACCCTACAACCCTCAACCACTAAATCATCTTATGAAACGCCGTGCCCACCTGTTTTTGAACACCTCCATGGATGGTGCCTCCACCACCTCCCTGGGCAGCTTGTTCCAGAGGGGCTTGGGCAGCTCGAGCAGTGGGCCCAGGTGAACCTCATGAGGTTCAACAAGGCCCAAGTGCAACCAGAGGTACCAACACAGGCTGGGGGAGGACAGGCTAGAGAGCAGCCCTGTGGAAAAGGACCT